GAGCAGCTTTCCGGCCGGCCGTTGTATTTACACGGCCGGCCGGGAGCTTTACATTGATTACTAAGCGAGCTGTCACTGCCGTTGCCGGTCCCGAGATCCGCTGTGTCCGGAGATCAAAGGGAGATCAGCACGACCTCCCTTTGATCTACTCTCCAGTCCCGGAATGCAGAATGTGATGTATATTACATCACTTCCTGCATTCAGTGTCACTTTCCAGCTACATAAGCTGATGAAGCAGATCTCTCTGGGGTCCCTAGGTAACATTGGGGTTCTTGGAGACCCCTGATGTCTTCATAAAGAGGACCTGTCATGTAAATTGGCTATCACATAGGGGGCTTCTTAGCCCCCCATGTGATAGCAATAAAGTTGTGTTAAAAAAAAAAGTCATACAAAAATGAATCAAAAAAATAAAGAAGCATAAAAAAAAAGTCCTCCGCCCCCCACATACACATGTAGATATGCGTCGGGTGTGCCTACGTGCGAAAACAACGATTGCGCCTATTGTGCCGCACATGTTACATATAACCGCGAACGTCAGAGTGCGAGCAATAATTTTAGGGCCTTTAAATTACCGATAACACTAAACTGATGAGCGGTAAAATCGTTTTAAGCGTCGCCTATGGCCAATTTCCAGTGTGGTAGTTTTTTTTGCGATTTTGCGGCCGCTCCCAATTTTAAGGCTTGACATGTTTGGTGTCTATTTATCCGACGTGACCTCGTCTTTTATATTTAACCAAAAATATGGATTGGAATAGATGTTTTATAACATAACGCAGGGGGAGGAAAATTTAATTCTACATTTACGGTACTTTTTTCATTATATAGTAAAAAATAACCCACCCATAAATTATTATTGATCGGTAAGAGAGCAAAAACATACCGCCAGTCCGCTCATTTCACGATCATCTCCCTGCAGAGAGCGGTGACTGTCACTCACCACACTGCACTGGGATCACCCCTCCCCTCTCTGATCCTCCAGCACTGACTGGAGGGATGGACGGGAGAGGAGCCGGGGCATATTAGGCAGAGCCCGCTGTCGAATAGCCAGCAGGGTGGATCTCAACAGTATTGTCGGGATCGTTCAGCGGCTGCGGCACTCTCAGCACATAGTGGATAATAGCCCTCTTTATACTGAATTTTAGGTCATGGGAGGATGATAGTCCTCCCATGACCCTAACGAGAACTATGGGATAAAAAGGTTACCCCATAGTTTAAGGTAAAAAAAAAAAAAAATTAATTTAGCCTTTTGTTTACTAAGAAGTTGCAAGGAACCAAGCAGTTGTTACAGAACTGTATAGGTTATGGCATTCTATCTCATTAAATCCAGAAAACCAAAACAAACAATTAAGAATTACGAATAGCTTTATACCCATCTCTGTTTTTTCCAGATTCTCTTTATAAAAAGACAGTGTATTGGTCCACAAAATTGTGAGCTTGCCTTGACATCTTACCTTTCTAATAGGCAAACTAGCCCTTGCACATAAGGAACATAAAAATAAAAAAAACCACAGAAGTTCTTGGGGGAACATTGCAACTTTTATTCTGACTGGATGACTGGAGTACTTCTTTAAAAGATAACTTTTTGGAAGAACAAAAAATTGTTGATTATCGTTCTGTGACGTTACCTAATTTTCATGGCAAAAATGTAAAGCTGTAGTTAGGGCCAGGCTTGCTAAGAGCAACTATTGCAATCTGAAAATTATTTATACCCCTTGCCCTAAACATAACTGCACTTGCAAGTTCCTTGCCCTCAGGACTAAATGTTTTACTCTGCACCTGTTTTTAAGCATTCTCCAGGTTTGCTCTGTTATAGTGAACATGTGGGAGTGTACAGAGAGGCAGGGATGCTTCTGGGTAGTCATCAGATGGTGATGACCATGTGTACACAGACTGTGCTCTGAGAGCATATGTTTTAGATGTAAAGAGATCGAGAGCAAAAAAGCAGGGATAAGGGCAGGCACTCAAGTGCAGAAATCTCTAAGGCCTTGTTCACACCAAGCGCGTTCCAGAAGCAGAGCAGTTACAGACCGGAGTAAAACTGCATCCAATGTATTCCAATGGTATTTTTAGCTCCAGTTCACATGGCAGCATTCAGTTGGACCTGCTCTGGAACGCATGCAAACGCACTGGAACGCACTGAAAGCCCATTTTAAACTTAAAAAAAAGAATTTTCCCCAAAAACGGCCTCGAACGCATCAAAAACGCGCCAAAAAACATGACAAAAACGCGGCACAACCTACTGAACTGCGTGTGCAGAAACTCATGCAGATCTGCTCTGCATTTGGTGTGAACAAGGCCTAACAGATGGGGGGAAAAAATGTGTAATCACAAAACTATTCTACTGACCAACCCCAAAAAAACAAAAAAGCGTTCTTACCCTTGAAAAAGGGACCCTAAACAACCTAATATAACCATTTGATGTCCTTTGCCTTCAGAAAGTAAAGACTAGACAGCTATTAACCTGTACAAATAATATACTAAAAAGAACACACAGATTACCAAGTATATATAAAAGGGTGACCACACTTTGCACAGACACACACAAACCCATCTTCTCATTTGTTCAACTGATAGCACAACACAGATCTATAAAACTTTCCAGTTCTGAAATGATTTCCAATAACTCGCTCACCATAGAAGTTACAGATCTGGCATCTTCCTCATAATTCACTACAGGGGGAGGTTCTTTCCCATCATTGTCTTGCACCTTTTGATCCAGTAGCTCTTTCTGGGCAGTTAGTTTTGCTTCTGTGCATTTCAAATGTTGGATTGTCTGCTTTAGCTCTTCAAGTGCTTGTTTGCGGCTCAAGAGAAGCACAACACTGGAGAGAAAAAAAATGTTAATTAAAACAGGACATATGTCAGATTAGACAAATTGTTTTAAAAAAGATAATTAAAAATCACAAAAATGTTAGCATGTTTATAATGATAAATGGTTTATACATAGAAGCTATTAAATATAACCCAGTGATGCGGATTTATTAAAGGATTTTAGAATGTTAGCACAATGTGAGAAGATTAACTTTAATTATCCAATTGCATCAAAAGAAAAAAAGGATTTTTACATTAAGTACAAAAATCCTATTTTCTTTCTCATTCTTTGAGGGACACAGGAAAACATTTACAGTTGCAACGTCTAAAAGTAGTGCATCTGAGGGATGGGCAAACCACAACAACTGCTAATATTCTGAACAAACCCAAGAGCCGCCTGAAGGACCAATGTCTGAATCTAACAATAAATAAGGTCAAACACCCTGCTTAACAGGGGGACCAGGAAACACATGGAGGACATTGAGTCACCATTAGAGGCGAAATACTCCATACAGAAAAGAACAGAGAAACCAGGATCAAGCAAGAAGCAGATTAACATCTGCTGACATGCTTCAGTCCAACTGGTCTTTTGTCATAGCACCTAAAATGCACATAAGATCTACGTTGAAGCGTAAACTTCTCCATGGCCAGAAGCTAACAGTTGGGAGGAACTAGTTTCCAGAAGGTGGCCCTCCAAGGCATCAGTGCAGGTCGAACTGAGGCAAAAATAATCAGACTGCCTCTCCTGAGGCAGGAAGGGCTCCTGTTCCTTTTCGGTGGTGAAGACACATCAATACTTACAGTGTGTCCAACCTGGTAAACCTACCTAAAGTGGGATCCCATGATGTATAAGGACCCTCAGTATCACTGAGGTTAAGTTCTGCCTAAAGTATGTAGATGTAATACCCATAACGTTAAATACTTTTTTTGTGCTTTTCAAGAAATCCATTACACTTTTAAAATGTAATGAATGGAAAAAAGTGAGTGTATGGGTGTGTGCATGAATGAACCCTTAATGCAAATGTTTGCTAGACCACAATACCTGCTCAAGCTGGCTAACTGTATAAAAGTGTAAATCCTAAAAATGAACTTGAAATCAGTGATCCTGAAAGAAACCCACTGCACTCTTAATTTCCTGAGAATTTTGCCTCAGCTGCACTGATATTTTAAACAAAATAATCAGCACTGCCCAGTTCACCTCCGAAAAAACAGATCAGGCCCCTGTTACGGAGATCAAAGGGAGGCGTTCTGCAGTCTAAATCAGGATCAAGTGACCAAGGGTGACACCACTGCTCCTCCACACAATGTGGTTGACTTGTTCACAATTGCATTAGCGCATTCAAAATGAATGGAACTGCAAAGCACAATACCCTAAAACACCAAAATGTTTAAACTAGATACATTGGTTACATTCCAAAAGCAAGTGTACCACTTAAACATGTCAGTTGTATCCTAGGTTTACACATGAGACATTACACACTTGTAGTGCACCAAGGCAAATCACTGCTAAACTCATCTCTTGTTGTCAGTAAGCCCATGTTCATGGATTACCATCTTTCTCCTGATATAAAGGTATGGAATGGTTTTCCAAACCCACCCAGATAGGTCTGATGTAAAACCAAAAATGTATAAAAAGGGTAAAATTATCGTTGCCCAAAGCAAATAATCAGCTTTTCAAAACAAACTGAAGCCGATTAGTTACAGACAAAAAGATATATTACCTGTAGCACATTATGCAAACATCAGACCCATGGCGTTGAGCATGCATGCAGATGATGTCATAAGGCAGAACGCACCAACATACAAGAACACCAATTTCCGGCCTCCCCAGCATTAATTTTTCACCTGGCTTAACCCCTTCGTGACGGGAGACGTACACTGTACATCCCGGCACTTTGTGCCTATATGACTGGCCACGTGCACTGTGCGTGACAAGTTATTTAAGGCTCTCCAATGCCGGTAACTGCGGATTCTCAGCGGGTACCAGTCATTAATGAATGCCTCAGTATTTTTGGCTATATCACTTCTCATCGTCTAGGCACGATCAAAGAGCTTTAGTGAGATATGAATCTGACATGCTGTCAGGATCAGTCTCTAAGTTTATTATTAGCTGTTCCTAAGTTTGGACCAGCCTTATAGCCCTAAAAATCAATATATATAATACATTTAGTAAGAAAGTATATTACTGCTGTGGAAGAATCACACAGCAAAAATGTAAAAGTCAGTCATTTATGAACAGAAACTGAAAACAAGCTCAGTCATGAAGGGGTTAATATGTGCTGTTGTGTGGAATCACACTTCTTATAAAATTGGATTTCATGAAGTGCATGCACAATTCAGTGTAACAAAAATCCACAATTACAGATAAAAAGATCTGTTAAATTGACCAAACTTCTTGCAGTCATGTCTAATCATGATATACCAGGCCCAATTAGATGACATGAAGCAGCATGCTGCACCTGGCTTTTGGCTAAATGAAAAATAATGAAAACTAGCACTACACCAACACCATTTTTTCTAGACCGAGTAAGAGTACCAATACTTTTCCTCAAGTACTCACCGATACCAATTACTGATACTTTTTATTAAAGTGTCATGTGACAGTTTTTCTAAAACAATGCAGTCTAATAATTTTAGGACAGTGGTAAAGTGCCAGGGCCCGGTAGCAGCTGCAAACGCTGCCACCCTGGTAGTTCTGCCACGGATTCCAAGCTGAAGAGTAACTACACATCTCAGCAATACAATATATAGGAATGTAGAACCCCTCCAGCTATAGAGGACTAAAAAACCCACCAATACATCATACAGCAATGCAAAATAATGCAGAATAATATAAAGCTACACACTCCGTGCTGCTCCTGGGGGCCGGCCTGACGTCTCCAGCAGAGGATCTCAGGTGGCTATGCGGCATCTATGGTGGGCTATGGTGGAGGTCTCACCAGGGGTTGCATAATTGGTCTTGCAGGTGGCGTTGTTACACAGGAAGGAGGAGATGATTTGCGGATGGCACTGTAAACAAGCACAACGATTCACAGGGAGGCTGCTGGGACCTTGCTGGTGTCCTCAGCAGCCTTCCTGTGAACAGCGACACCTGTTTACAGTGCCAGATTCAGTTTAAAAGTGCCGCTATCAGCGCTTAGTATCAGGGTATTTTCAAGAGTATTACTCATGAAAATGCCTGATATTGGTGCATCTCTAATGAAAACCCAACTGAAGCTACAGTTGAAATCCGGTTATTATATTCCTGGTGCATAGAAAAGCCTGTCCCTGCCAGCTTGCTGCTGAGAAGAGCCTTTGTTCTTTGTGTGGAAGCACTGTTCCCTTTGCAGATGTCAGACACATCACCCTACCTTTATCTCAGCAGGAGGCATGTTGGACCTCAGCAAAGAGATCGCTGCTTCCACAGAGAGATCAAGGGGCCTTCTCTGCACCATGCTGGCAGCACACAGGTTCTACCCAGTGGCTGATTTTTAAAGAAAACCAAACTGCAAAGGTGCCCATACACCTTACAACCATCGCACGACTTCTGCTGTGCGATGGTTGTAAGGTAATTAAAATGTCGTACGATCTACCCATCTTGGACAGGCAGATCGTACTTGCGATCAACGCAAGCCCTCCCCACTGAGGGGCCGGCTTCCGATGATTCCAATGCTGAGCAGGCGCACACCGGCCCGTGCGGCATTTGTTTTCCGAACACGGCACTAACCCGCGGACAATCTTATGATTTTCGGTAGGTTTTAAAGCGTGCTCGGGAGACAAAAGACGTGCGACCGTACATTAGAAACGGCCGCACGCCTTCCATACACCTGCCGATTATCGTACGACCGCGGGATCACCCGCGATTATTGTACGATAATCGGCAGGTGTATGGGCACCTTTAGACTTTGCATACCTTTTATTTTAATGCACCTGGAATGTATTTAGCAAATATGTATTCAAAGTTCAATTGGGCTTTAAAATTGAAGTTCGGACACAAAACATTCAATTTTAATATAATCTTGAATAGCCACAAGGGATATAAATTCACTTTATATGCACTAAATGCCTTTGCAAACCCAGTAATAACTTTGTAAGAGTAGAATTGACACCATCACTGGGCTACACCTAGCAAGCCCACTCACTACAGGCTAAATGCAGAACACTAGAGAGGAGGGGGGTTGCAATACAAGACCAGTCACTCTGCACAAGGAGAGAGAGTAGCAGTGACTGGGTCTTTAGTAAAGGAAGATGCTGCACAACTGCACATATCTGGAGGAAATACACACAGCACACCGATATAAAAGTAAAAGCACAAATCCCTCTTGTACTTAGACAACATTTGCTTATTCAGGAGTTAAACTTTTAAGTGGCCTTCAATCAAAAGTGCAATTTTTCCAGTAACAATTTTTCAATGTAGAGTTTCACTTGCTGCTTGGAGTTGCCGTTTAATAAACAGTATACAATTTACACACAAAAAAAGAGACTGTACGATTTCCCAAGCCAAATAATAATGGAAAAGACATAAGCCTTCACGATAAGGCCGACCACCTGTTGTGCAATACGAAGAAGACACTTACTCAGACTTTTTTTCATAGGCGTTAGCAGATTCTTCAATATCTTTCTCTTTTTCAGCCAGTAGTTCCTCTTTGTTTAAAAGTGACTGCTGTGTCTGTGCAAGTTCCTCAGATGCTGTTTTCAACCTGTAAAACAAATTGTGATGTATTCTGAAGATGACACAGAGGGCAACTGGAAACAAGTAAATTGAGCCAGACATGAAATCTCTGTCCACAAAAGGTGGCATTTAAACAGAAAACGATAAATCCTCTCTAGTTTTAAGCAAGGAACAGCGGCGGCTTACACATTTCATTCTAACAAGGTCACTGGCTAAGAAGCAAAAAATATGATCTAATGGGACAGTGTGCAGCCTAATAAATAGCCCAATAAACTAGTGGTTTTCAAACGATATCAAATAAAACCGACGTGCTCTTTAAACCAATAATTAATGTTACTGGTTCCTATCAACTTTAAAACTATCTTCACAATTCAGGGATTCATATGGATTACGGTCTCAAAATCACTCTTCCTTTCGAAATCTTAAATAGATTTTGAGCACTTCTGTTGCTTGAACATACACTACAAAAAATGGTGCATTTTATTTGTTAATTCATAAATAATATATTCATTGGCTCTCCAAACGCAAATCTTGCTTTACCTGATCACACAGGAGTCCTGAAACCTTCCTTCGCCGCCTCTGGGCCCCAGTTCTCCCTAAAAATTGTTTCCCCAGACATTTCATTTTTTTCAATTTTTATTTACTTTGTAAACATTTTTTATTTATTTTATTATTTTGACTTTGTCTTTTTATTTATTTATTTTTATTCAGTTACATTTTTAATCAGTTGTTGTTTTTTTTACTTTATTTTATAATTTTTAACTTTTCCTAACTATATTTTTCACTTAAATTTATTGCTATCACACATGGGCTAACAAACCCCTGTGTGATAGCATTTGGAGGTGACAGGTACTCTTTATTGGCCCTGTCACCTCCAACACAGGAGTTCTAGCACAGCACAGCACTGTGCTAGAACTCCTGTGACAAGAAGGAGGGTCGGGGACATAGGCTGAGGGAGGTGACAGAGCCTGTCACAGCTCCATGTGTCCAGCTCCGTCACCGCTCCACGCCCCCTGCGCTGTCACTGCTCCACGCCCCCCGCCGTCACTGCTCCACTCCCCCCGCCGTCACTGCTCCACGCCCCCTACTCTCGCTTGCCCGGCGCCCGGGACTATATGTCTCGGGCGTCGGGCAATACGAAAATCAACACCGATGTGTAAGCATCTGCGTTATGTACCGGTGCATTTTCACAAGTACTTGTGAAAATGCCCTGTATCGGGCCCGATACCGGAGCTAGCATCGGTATCGGGACATCCCTATTTACAACGGTTAATTAAATCTGGCAGCACAGTACAGACAGGTTTAATTAGAGTAAACATCACTTCCCACAGCCCTCTAAACAATTGCATAGGGGGAAGAAAGGTGAGATTTTAAGTAAAAAGCACATAAAAATGTAAGCAACCATTCTTCATTTTTTGAAAGTTATACAATGTGAATGAGAACATCAAATAAAAGTAGGTGTTATCCCAATTTGGCTGCAAAAATGGAAATACACTTTAAGCACCTACGGCATTTACCTCCAAGTTGTGCCTGCTTTAAAAAAATATTTGGATGACTGTAAGAGGCTTAGCATTACAGTGGTGAATAGTACTGCAATGGCATTATTGATCATGACGTGTGCACAGTACAAAATATTCTATTCCCGGCAATAAAGCAGAAGACAAGACTGCTATTTGACTGCAGTTTTATTTCTCCTCTTCTCTATCGTCCTCTACATAACCACACAGATTCATCATGTCTGTATTTCATTTTTAGCTGCTTTTACACACTATTTTTTTACTACATTGCAAAAAAGAAAACCCCTACCGAGCACAAGTTGATATCCAATGACCGCAAGTAAAGGCATCGAAACCTAGAACAATTTCCATTTTTAAACCAGGGAAGAAAATGAAAGACAAAAAGAGGAAATAAAATAATGTATTCATTACACAGACTACAGTCCTTGCTAAAAGGTTTGAGAGTGACACAAATATTAATTTGCACAAAGTCTGCAGCTTCAGTGTTTTAAGATCTTCTTGTCAGGTGTTACTATGGTATACTGAAGTATAATTACAAGCATTTCATAAGTGTCAGAGGCTTTTATTGACAATTACATCAAGTTTATGCAAAGAGTCAATATTTGCAGTGTGTGCCCTTCTTATTCAAGACCTCTGCAATTCGCCCTGTGATGCTGCCAATCAACTTCTGGGCCAAATCCTGATTGATGGCAGCCCATTCTCGCATAATCAATGTTTGAATTTTGTCAGAATTTGTGGGGTTTTTTAGTTCACCCGCCTCTTGAGGATTGACCACAAGTTCTCAATGGGATTAAGGTCTGGGGAGTTTCCTGGCCATGGACCCACAATTTCAATGTTTTGTTCCCCAAGCCACTCAGTTATCACTTTTGCCTTATGGCAAGGTGGTCCATCATGCTGGAAAAGGCATTGTTGGTCACCAAACTGTTCTTGAATGGTTTGGAGAAGTTGCTCTTGGAGGATGTTTTTGCACCATTCTTTATTCATAGCTGTGTTCTTAGGCAAAATTGTGAGCGCACTCCCCTGGCTGAGAAGCAACCCCACACATGAATGGTCTCAGGATGTTTTACTGTTGGTATGACACAGGAGTGATGGTAGCGCTCACCTTTTCTTCTCGGCACGAGGTATTTTCTGGATGCCCAAAACAATCGGAAAGGGGATTCATCAGAGAAAATGACTTTACCCCAGTCCTCAGCAGTCCAATCCCTGTACCTTTTGCAGAATATCCGTCTGCCCCTGATATTTTTCCTGGAGAGAAGTGACTTCTTTGCAGCCTTCTTGACACCAGGCCATCCTACAAAAGTCTTTGCCTCACTGTGTGTGCAGTTGCACTCACACCTGCCTGCTGCCATTCCTGAGCAAGCTCTGTATTGGTGGTGCCCCGATCTTGCAGCTGAATCAACGTTAGGAGACGGTCCTGGCGCTTGCTGGGCTTTCTTGGGTGCCCTGAAGCCTTCTTCACAACAATTGAACCTCTCTCTCCTTGAAGTTCTTGATGATCCGATAAATGGTTGATTTAGGTGCAATCTTAGTAGCAGCAATATCCTTGCCTGTGAATTCCTTTTTGTGTAAAGCAATGAGGACTGCACGTGTTTCCTTGCAGGTAACCATGGTTAACAGAGGAAGAACGAAAATTTCAAGCACCGCCCTCCTTTTAAAGCTTCCAGTCTGTTATTCTAACTCAATCAGCATGACAGAGTGGTCTCCAGCCTAGTCCTCGTCAACACTGACACCTGTGTTAACGAATCCCTGACATGATGTCAGCTGGTCCTTTTGTGGCAATGCTAAAATGCAGTGGAAATGTTTTTGGGGGGATTAAAGGAGAACTATGAGGTGAGTGGTTTTCACTCACCTCATAGTTCTAGCCGACCTGTGACAATGAGACTGTCACAGGTCGGCTCAGTAGATCGGGAAGTGAGCGAACACATACCGACGTTGCTGTGACAGGGGAGAGACTGGCTTCCCAGCTTCGATCCTCCAGCGCTGATGGGCGGAACGGACGGGGTAGGGGGCGGGTACAGCTGGGCGGATCCAGACATAATTGTCGGGATCCGCTTCAGCTGCGGCGTCTCCGTATACAGCTCGCGGTATACTGAGCTCAGGGTGACGTAGAAAGTAGAATTTTGTTAAAGGGCACCACATTAAAAGGAGTATAGTAGCATACTAGTGAAAATAAGTGCACCGATCTTTGTGCATACTTTAGGTGCTTTAAACTCCTAAATCCAGAGTACTAAGGAATTCAGGGGCCGTCTGTCTGATTCCGGAGCCAGCAGGATTTTGTTCTTTTTGCAGCCAGCTCTATTGACAACCAGAGAAAAACCCCAAACGTTAAGGCGTCACCTACAATTGCTAAGGAGCATTGGTGACCTGGCTTCTGGGATTTGTCAAGCACTGCCTTAATCTAAAACTAAAATACAGAGATATGCATGGGCCTTTTCTATTTCCCACATCCTCAAGGCAAACATCCCTCTCCACACTTACTACCCACCCCTCTCCAACACCCCTTCTCATAGAAAAACTACAAAGCTGTCCAGACGTCAGATGCCAATTACATTGGTTGCACTGCCTAAACAGTACCCACCCATCTACTCAAGCAGATGGCCCTTATATTTCTATGGGCTGGTCATCACACTAGCAACATCAGCCAAGCATGTCATGATTGTCCATGCCAGACAATGCATGTGAATTACACCTGCACCTGAGGCCTGTATAGCTCTTTTAGGGCACTGTAAAAACTTGTAAAGGTGCCGCTACATAACTTGATCTTTATTTCATCTAAGCATGAAAGATCTGGATACGGTTTTTATAAACACCTAAACCTGCTGCGACATTCACTTAAAAGCATTATTTTGATTTTCCAAGCAATTGCTCCAATGACTTTGAAGAATGGAGGAACCATATTTATTGGGGGTTTTTTTGCATACTAGATGCTCACCATAAGAACACCACAGCAGAAGAAAAAGGCAAACAAAAAACAGCATATGGTTTATATATCAACAAAACCAAAATGTTCTCTGCAAAGAAGAGATTGAATACTAATATTTCCTGCAGAATCTGACACTTCCAGGAGTGGACTTCCTGGCCTTCAGTCAGCCGCTATGTCACAACAGGACACAACATTGACGTAGAACAAGTGAATCAATCCATTGAGAGCACAGAAAGGGACCAAAAATTTGACATTCCCGAAAGTGTTGGTTTTAGAAGAACTTTTCAGCTGGCATTTTCTATTTACTTCAGCATCGATCAAAAGCATGGGCAGCAGCAAAGCTGAATATTTAAATTTCTATCTTTGCAGGGAACATTCTCTTGCAGTGTTTCCTGGATAATAGTAGCAGCTCAATGACTGGTTTCACTAATTGCATGGAATTTTTCTGTAAGGAGTCCCAACAGAAAGAAACAGGAAACAGTTTAAACATGTTTATAAAAAAAAAAAAAAAAATTATTGAATTATTCAAGCATGAACAATACGGTTTATTATCCTCAATTAAATATTCTCTTACATTGAATTTAAGCTGTCTGCTGTGAGATTGTTCCATATGATTTCATTCGCCTGCAGATTTTCAATCTCTTCTAATAATGACACATCAAATTCAATATCCTCTTTCTTTAACTCTGGTGACCTATTATAAAACGGAAATAAAAGAAATAAAGAACATTTTAATTAGTCATGTGAACTAGAACAGATTATGAAAGATTTGCTGGTATGAAGCATCATCAAGTGTATTTTAGTTGTATGCTAGATAGACAGACCAGAAGACAATCAGATGAGCTCAGATATTTCCTTTATGTACTTTGATGGCCACACTCCCACCAAGACAAGTCCAAAGACTGGAAGCAGGAGTCAAGTGTTTCACCTCAAAATAAGCCAGTGTAGGGAAGAGGGATTACCATAATAGTAAGTAATGATGACAAAAATGACTAATCACCAAAACATCAAGTCATTTTTGGGAGGGGCACAAGAACCTGATTAACTACAGCACCTTGTCCTTTGCAAGATTTCTGCTTATTAAACCAATGTCTGTTCTATGGCTCTATCAATATGAAAGCATAGTAAAATGGGTTGTATCGCTCCACAGAATACAGTTAAGTACAGAAAACAATAAGTTAAAAACAAACCCGTTTTTCTGAATGAAGTCCTCGTACTCCGTGCTTGGATTTATTTCTTGAACACACGTCTCTATTTCTTTGTGCACTGAAATAATTTCATCAGACACAAGGCTGGTAATTTGGCAGTATTCATCAAAGATTCCTTTGCTGGAGTAGAACAAAATATTCACCATTAAAATAAAAGTGGTTGCAATGTTATTATTAAACACAACCTAAGAAAGATGTATGTATTTAATTACTGATTACTGGTCGCATAACACATTTTATGTTCAAATATTTTAATACCAGATCAGATTGCTCTTTTAAAGAAAATATGTTTAGACAATTATCCATTGCATCTTGTAATCACATTCACATATCCCAAGCCCTAAACTGAACAGGACATATACATAGTTATTCAGATTAATGGGCATTATTTCACTCGCCTGTGTTTACTTTACTGACGTATCAGTACTGAACAGGAAACTCATCCTATTCATTATTAATTACTAAGAAACAGGGGTCAGCACAGGCAATTGCTTTCATTGTGTCAAATCATGGACTCTACATTTGTTGCAATGACATTGCAAGAAAAGGAAATAAAGTACTAGGTTATTTTAATTAAGGCTGGCACTTGTCAATGCCCCCTTTCTGACTCTTGTACCTTGCTAATGGTCACAGAGGCAGCCATCACAACCAGTGACCAACAAGCTGAGGAGGCAGCCTGAAACCGGTCACAAAATTAGGCAACTCAAATTGAGAAACCGTGCAAAAGTAGGGGTTATAATAAAATGAAAAAAGCGTGTCAAAACAATCAGTAGATCCAGGAAAATCAGAAAGTTTGCAGCAAATCAAGACTCTCCTTGGAAATTGAAGGCTCTATTAATAAATTACATTGCCCATCCATTAAAAAAGGCCAGAAAGAAGAGACGAAAATAAGAATAAAAGCGCATTTGTTGAATTTGCATGGTAACTGTACTATCTCCCTTCGTTTTGTAAAGTGCTGAGCAAACTTTTGAAACTATATAAATCCTGAAAAATATTAATCTTAGATTTTTGTCTGCCATACCTCTCTTGAGGTGGTACTCCTTAGCCCCAGCGAGGTGCCCATTCATAACTATTCACTAATTAAGACTAATATTATACATCATGTATTGCATTAAGCCAACCCATTCACTTTAAATGAACCCTCAATGTGCATCTAAGCATCAAATAATTAACTTTTTTTTTTTTAACTGCAAAGCACATATAAAACATGTTTATACACTCGCGACTCCTGCCTACCTCCTACTCTCTTTTTGTCATGAACACCACCACCACCAGATCTAGAAAGGCGAATTTAGTCATCGGTCAGCATACATTTACCTGCTATGGATTTACATTATACTGACCTAAATGTTGCAGACTCAAAAGATAGATGTGCTGAATTGACTTCCACATACCGGAAATAAACACACGTGTGAAAAATGCTGTAAAGTAAGAATGCTTTCCGAAATATAAGTGCTAATAGTTTATTTTTTATCAATGAACAAAATGGAAAGTAAATGAACAGAAGAGAAAATCAAATCAATATTTGGTGTGACCACCCTTTGCCTTCATAACAGCATCAATTCTTCTAATACCGAAAGGGTAGTCACACCAAATATTGATTTGCACAGTTTTTGAAGGAACGCGACAGGTATATTGTTCCAAACATCTTTGAGAACTAATCCCAGATCTTCTGTGGATGTCAGCTGACCCAAATCCTTCGGTCTCTTCATGTAATCCCAGACAGACTGCATGATGTTGAGATCAGGGCTGCATTTCTGCATATGGATTTGTAGATTTGGTCAGGATCAAGGGGTCCTCAATGCTGAGAAATACAAGCAGATATTTATGCATTATGCTATACCGTCAGGGAGGCGTGTGATTGATCCAAATGTATTCTGCAGCAGGACAACGACCCCAAACATACAGCCAATGACATTAAGAACTATCTTCATAAAGAAGAACAAGGAGTCCTGGAAGTGATGGATGGGCCCCTACGGAGCCCTGATCTAAACATCATGGAGTCTGTCTGGGATTACATGAAGAGACAGAAGGATTTGAGGCAGTCAACATCCACCGAAGATCTGTCCTTAGTTCTCCAAAATGTTTGGAACAACTTCCTGCTGAGTTCCTTCAAAAACTGTGTGCAAGTGCAATCCCAAAACCCAGGGAGTTGGACAGACCCCTCACGGTCTACGAAGGGATGTGCACAGGTTCCCTACCCACAGGACATGCCATTTCCACCATTTATAACTTGATAAACACAGCCCCTACTGATACTGTCCTGTCCTTTGGGAAACGATGGGAGGAAGAATGGGGGGTAGTCTTTACGGAACAACAGATCCACACCATCTTCACCATGTCTTCCAAATCTTCTATAGCTAGCAAAGTGGAGGAACTTGGCTACAAAATATTGTCCCCTTGGTACAGAGTTCCCTGGCTCTTGCATAAAATGAGACCCATCATATCCGAAAAGTGCTGGCGCTGTGGCTCGGCTGCAAGTTCAATGTTACATACATTTTGGTCCTGCCTTGAGTTGAGGCCCTTCTGGGACCAGCTGCCGTCTGTTATCCAAAACCTGACCATGGCAGACCTCACAAGACAATCCGGCGGCCTGTCTCTTACACTTGTCAGCGACCCCACTTACAGGCACTCGCTCACACACCACCTGTTGGACGCAGCCAGAGCATCTATCCCTCTGATGTGGAAACAACCTCGTCCCCCGTCGATTGCACTATGGCTTTCTAAGGTGCAAGAGGTATACACCATGGAAAACCTAATGGCCACACTCAGAAACACGGAGAAGCAGCTCTTGTCCACTTGGGGAGCGTGGATCTATTTCCAACACTCCGCCGATCTCCTGTCTGGGGACACGAGAAAACTCACTCCTCCAGCCACCTCCATCCCCCAATAGTCGCCTTACTTGAGGGGATCTAGTGAAGGACACTCCACCTTCCCCCAACAGCACACCAAAAGGATTTCTCTCCCCGGGGGGGGGGCGGCGGTTACGGGCAGTGGTCCAGGTACCATTCTCCTCCTTATCTCCTTTTTTAAGCCCTATAAATCTTGCTTCCCAAAGTAAGTACTGCATCTCTATGACTCCGTCCCTTTCTGTCTTTTTTTTTTTCCACTTGCATATTTCTTATAACGATATATGAAAAGATATGAATAATTAGCTTGGCATTTTTGCTGTTTATACGAAACCACTTTTACTTTACATACATGATACGGCCACACAAACATACTTTACTGCACAATCTTAATGTTATTACCAATGTTACCGGCCACATTGGGTGTCGAGGCCGGATCTTGATTAACAGTCACTATGTGGATACTACAGCTCCTGGAACATTCCAAGAGTACAAACAGTGTAATTGTGTGACATGTCTCTTTGTACTTATGCCTGCATTATGTGTATTTTGTACTTGTCCAGCTAATAAATTACATTTAAAAAAAAAAACTGTGTGCAAGTGTACCTAGAAGAATCAATGCTGTTATGAAGGCAAAGGGTGGTCACACCAAATATTGATTACAATTTTTCTTCTTTTCATTTGCTTTCGTTTGTTAATTGATAAAAATTAACACTTTTATTTCTGAAAGCATTCTTACTTTACATAATTTGTTCACATGTTCCTAAAACTTTTGCACAGTACCGTATTTATTTATACACACACACTCTAAGGCTTGGTTCACACTTAGCGTTTTGTTGAACTTTTTCTGCCCTAAATAACGCTCCAAAAATATGCCCAAAATAATAATTCATTTTATGGCCCTGTTTACATCTGAGTGCTTTGTCCAAAAACAAAAAAAAACACCTGTCTCTGGAAAAAGCACATGAGCTTTTTTGGGTGGGCATATTACAGCTCATTTTGGCCCCATAGACTCAATAGGAAACGCTTGAAAACACGCTTTTGCTGTGTTTTTGTGTGCATTCACTCATTATCATCAAGGAGCTACAATCTGCTCACAAAAAAGCGCAACTTGATTTATGCGGAAAAAAATTGTGAAAACATACATCAAAACCATATGTAGAAACTCACAAAAATGTTGCCTTGGTGTGAACCCAGCCTAAGGGCATTGCGGACCTTTCATTCACTCAACATCCCTGTTGCAAAATAAAATTCTGATCCAGTTTACATAAACGAAACATATTTCTTACAGGGCTTTGATCATTTCCTCTTGCATGGTCTGTAGGGAATCTAAGAGAAGAGGCAGAGTGCAATCATAATACTGGTTCTGGTGCAGTTGGGCTCCTTTCAAAGCAAGAACATACTGATTGTGGAGCATGTGAAGTTTCATGGTAGCTTTGTCATAGCGGTCTCTGGCTTTTTCTGTTTCTTTTCCTACGTAAAGTACAATAAACAACAAAAGCATTACCACATTAAGACATCACTAATGATAGAAAATGCAAAAAAAAAAAAGGGAAGTCTATAGAAGGAAAAAAAAAAAAACTCAGAAATTTGCAAAAGGAACATATAGGAGAATGGTTACATTCTGCACTCTACATGATTTATGTTAAAATAAATGTAAAAACGAATTAAATAACTTAATTTTCTAAAGCACACTGTATAAAACAATTGTCATATTGTAATAAAATACAATGTTTTTTTTTTATTTTGTTGTATATCACCACTAATTATCACCTGCAGCAACGTCCTGTCTACATGCACTTCAGTTACGGCTCTATGTTATATTCCAGGACAAGCTTCTTGACAGCATTAACAGTAGACCATGCCTAATGTGTGTTCAAACAGCCTCCAATGGAAAAAGGTGACAATGCAGAAGCACAACTTGGAGAAAGGGACAAAGTGTTGTCACCCTATAATAAGTAGTGCCTGAATAAGGGCCTTCATGGCAGGATTACCAGATATTATATTGATACAAAATGCAGAATTAAAAATATTAACAGCAGAAATAAAGCTAATTTTTAATGTAAACACTATGCAATTCTAAGGTAAAATAGTGCATGCATGCCTGCAAAACTATATGCCTCGTAGCTCTTCCAGAAGGTCTCCCAGCTGCTGCGCAAGCACACTGCAGGACCTGGGATACTCTATGACCCATTTGCTTCAGCTCAGCAAGCTTCACGGCATAAAGGTCAAAGTCTTTCAACACCTCCCCTCTTGGTATGTCATTTTGTGCCTATGATTGGAGAGGAAGAGACCATCACTGCACAGAATATGGCTCGGCCAATCCCGCTCTGTGTTCCCTCTTCTCCATTCTTTCACGTGCTCCCTCTGCTCTTTCCCTCCTCTCCTTTCTTACCCCTGCTCCCTCCTCTCCTTTCTTTCCCGTGCTCCCTCGTCTCATTTGTTGCCAGCTGCATTTTTTACAATTTGTAACAAATGGTTTAACAAATAGTAGGAGAGAGGGAGGACTTGGGTATTTACAGAACTGCCTTATTACTCACCCAGTGTGTAGCAAAGAATTAAAAAAAAAATTCTACAGAAGAACTAGGAGCATCACTTTCCTCAGATGGTAACATACCTTTAGTATCTCTGAATAATGCTGAGGAACACACTAGGTAAGTTGCCATATAGATATTACAAAATAAGGCTAATGCAAAAGGTAACAGATTTGCAAGTATGCATGCACACACAATTTGTACTTGCAATTTCAGTCTTTGCATAACAAATGTAATTTAGTTCTGCTTTAAAGTAGCTTCTGAAATGACATGAAACCATGTTACGTTAAATGAAAAAAATCTACATTTGTAATTCTGGTTATTAAATTAATGTTTTCTACATGGAGAAAGTTAACGTTTGTCAAAAACACACTTTGTAATGTATCATTTCTTGCTTGAATTGAGCTTAAAGTCCAGTCCCACCTTTGTTAATGATTAGCATTTATTGTGGTAATGCAGAGGTGCAGTGATGATGTATACATGTGCACATTTTCATGGCTCACATTGCAGGCGCACTTCTTTTTTTAATGACAGTTTTATCAACCCCGAAGCCTAAAAATTAAAAAAATTTCTCCACAGGAAAATCAGACCCGAGTGTCAGACTGTAATCAGCTAACCCCCTTCCTGTCACTCATTGTAACTTCATCAGTAAACACTAGCTCTGCCTTTACATACAATACAATGTCGTGGGGGATGACACAATGACACATATTTCTTTCACAGCACAGAGGCAGAAATTTGCATGCAGCTATGAAAAGGACAGATAACAAAAACATTTAAGTTTTTGTTTTCATATACATCAACTGCATATGTCTGCTCCATGTACAGTTTGTGTACATTGCTGTCATATGTTTTTAGAAAAAATACCTCTGCAAAAGTGGAAATCGGCTTTAAAGCCCAACTCTAGGCAAAGTGGTTATTTTTCATTTGTTTTACCCCTTTAATAATTTGCTATGACTTGTTTAAGTCATCAATATCTTTTTTACTTCAATAGCAGTGTCTAAGCCCCACTGAGCAGTTGCCAGGAAATACAGCGAGATCCAGCTCCCCACTGTATCAGAAACGCAGAGGATAAACAGCAATTTTGGTGCTGTGCCTCCAACCCCTCCCTGTGCTTTGTCATTCACAATAGCAACGCAGAAGCTTTATTGTACCTTATGCCAAGTTCCTAAATGACATGCTCATCTAATCTCAATGTGAGATATCATCAAGAAGTGACACGTTGACACTACTAGACCTTAGCACCTAGATATAAACTTTTCAGGAAGGTTTAAATGTGACTGGTGACTGGAAAGTAACCCCAGTTCATAGTAAGGACACAATGACTTATCAGGCCTTTCTAACTCGTAGGAGCGCAGGAAGTTGCAAACAAGATCAAAGTGAATTTCTCCTAAGAGGTGAGATGTGTAGACTGATAGCAATTTTATTAGTTGATTAACCTCTGTTGGTGTAGCATTGTGGCCAAGTGATTAACACTACCACCTTGCAGCTCTGGCTTCTGTGTTGGAATCCCACCAGGCAAATTATCAGCTTGGATCCACCATGTTTACCAAGGACTAGTTCACACCACAAACAGGGTGTTTCGCCCCGATTTGGTGCCAGAACGCACTGGATTGCATCCTGTCAGGCTCCCTGTGTTTAGGGGCAGGAGGGGGCGTGGCGGAGCATTGGAGTCAATGGCACCGCAGCCACGCCCCCCGGTCACAGTGCGATCGCCCGCACCCAAACGTGTTGCACATCAATGCACTATTGAAAAATGCTGCATGCACTATTTTTTCTGATTGCACCGGACCGGAATGCAGGCATTGATGTGCCACGCGTTTGGGTGCGAGATCGCACTGCCAGGGGGGCCAGCCTATTGTGACATCAAATAGGTGGTCACTGCCACCTAACCTCTGCCTTCAATTTTTATGATGCACAGGAAGAGGTGATGCTAGTCAGAGCTGGCATGATTTTGTATGTCCTGGAATCAGGTTTGTTTTAGGTTTTTCACTGCTCTATTAGGCGGTTTTCAAACCAGCAGACCTAAATAGCCAACCAACTGGATACAGATTCTTTCAAAGAATTATTTGCAAGCACAAAAATTCAAGGACCTAATAAAATGGATGATGTGTTGTGCCATTATCGCTGTCAGGACTAGCAGAACACTATTAATTATGTCTAGTGCTCCCACTTTATCACGGTTTAGCTAGTTTATGACCAAAGGCTATATTGAACACCTTGCCTGGGTAAACAGGCATTCCAAAGCATTTGCTTTTACCATAAGACATTCAAAACTGCAAACTCAAGCGGTTTTAAAGACTCTCTTCAAGCAGACCTGTCATTTCCATATAGCAGCACACACAACAGAAGTGTGAACGGCCACATGTCATGCTTTTGTTTATTTGCATAAGGTGAACATCAGTTAGAATAACTAGCATTTATAACAAGGTGAAAACACAAGGGGGGGAGGAGGGGGGTGTATGTCAAAATTGCAGCACGCAGAATCTGGAGCAAATACCCATAGCAACCAATCAGCTTCAACCTTCAGTTTGTTGGGTTTAACTGTGAAAATTAAAGGAATTAGATCATTAGCGATTTTGGCCATACACCATTAGGAATCAGTGTAAATCTCGGAGCTCTGGCGGGGACCACAGGTCTTTGCAATAAGCTCAGGCTTCTCAGCCTGTACAAATAAATGACAGGCTGACAGACACTGCGACTAATCACATGTAACTAGTAAAGTATATCACCAGCACACCAAAGTAAAATCTTCAACGAGTGGTCATTTTATTGATGTACACACATCTCGTCATAAAGCAACGCTTCGAGGCCATTCAGGGTCCCTTCATCGTCATGCCTGATAAAGGGACCCTGAGTGGCCCTGAAATGTTGCTTTATGACGAGGTGGGTACATCAATAAGATGACCACTCGTTGAAGATTTTACTTTGGTGTGCTGGTTATATACTTTACTATTTGGATTTGAAGTGGCGCCATCCACTATCACTGCAGCACCCACTTTAAAAAGGAACATACCAGTAAGGAGTGCGGTGGAACTCTTTGGAACACAGCCGAAGGGTTACATGCGATTAGGGACAGATGGACATTTTAAGCTTACCTTTTGTGACAGCTTCTTTAAACTTCTCCTTAGCTGAATTTACTTCCTTTGTTAGCTGCCTGTAATTCAGCTTCAACTTTTCTATTTCTGTTTTCGTTACCTAATTTAGAAATAAACTGGTTACTTTTACCAAATTTCACATATTTCTAACACATATTAATGACTTGTACCCTTTTTTTAAACACTTCTGATATTGTATTGTATTGGTTCTCCTTCTACAACTGATCCGACCTGGGCTTACAGCAACAGTCATAAGAACCAACTGGTTATAACTATCTGAGCTTCCAGTGAGGGATAAATTCCAGCATCTGTTCCTCCCAAAGTAGTACATATCGTCTTAACGGACTTCAGATTGGGCAATATACAGTCATTTTAACTTCTGACATTCTATATTCCTATTCCACAGAATATCATAGACTGCTAAAAGACATTGGAAGATAACTCGGGTGCTAATGCAACTCTCCAACATTAAGAGTGTTCCCCTTACAAATACAAAATAAACCTAAAAACAGTCGAGAAGAACTCTGGGCATAAATAATCCTCACCCTTGCGGTGGGGCTACCTATGCACTGCAAGGGTTAAGTGCTTGTTTTCATCTAGGGAAAAAAAATAACAAAAGATATACTCAAATGAACCATGGAGACAGCAGGCTGCTAGACCGGTCCCTATGGCTTTGGTCCTCCGCTCCAGAGATGGACTGTTCCTCGGCTTCCTGACCTGCAATACACTGCATTAGACACGATGACTCGCAGGACTTCAGACCGCCGGAGCAGAGGAAAGAGGATGCAGGGAACCATCTAGCAGCCAGCCGCCTCCGAGATTCAGGTGAATATATCTTTGTTATTTTTGTCCCTAGACAAAAACAAGCACATAATCCCCGCAGTGAGGGGGAGCATAGGTTTTAGGTTTATATTGTATTTGTAAGGGGAACTCTCTTTATGTTGGAGAGTTGCATTAGCACTTGAGTTTTCTTCCAATGTCTTTTAGCAGTCTAGGACTTCAGTCCTTTTTTAAAGCGAAACTCCAGGAATTGCAGGCCTTAATACTTGCAATGGGGCTACCCCCGTGCTACAATGGTTAACTGCTCATTTTGTCTAGGGAGCAAAAACAAAGAAATACTTAGCTAATCCTCGGTCCTGCCTGGCTGCAAGATTGGCCTCCGCAGTCTCTTCTCCCCCGGGCTCCGACAGTCTAAGGATCTGTGACATCATAATGTCTAATCCAGTGCATTAGATGCCAAAGCACATACTACAGACAGAGCAGAGGGGAGAGAGGTGAGCAGTAACTGCCATAGGACTGAGGATCAATTAAGTATTTCTTCTTATTGGCCCTAGTGGGGTAGCCCGACTGCAAGGATTACCTTTAAAGTCCTGGAGTTTTTCTTTACCAGATTACATAATCCAAGACAGAAAACACTGCACACCCCGTTAAAGGGAAAGTATACTGTATTTTCAGATGTTTTTGCAGTTTTAGATTTGGTCATTTGTTATGAGACTTTCACATTTTACCTACAGAGTTGTGTGGATTAGCCACCAGAGACATTACAAATCACAGACTGTCATATAGCACTAAAGCTCTAACCTTAGGCATAGCTCACACAGGTTTCAGCTTGTACAAGAGCAGTGTGAGCAGCATGTTTTACAGAGCATTTGCAGAGCTTTTGGCAAGATTTGGTGAAGCTTTTACAGCACCATTTTGCTCCAGTTTGGGAATGGTACTGTCACTTTAAACAAGCTGCTAGCTGCTTCAGTACAACTTGTTGAAAGTCTGCTAGCAGCTTGTTTAAAGTGACAGTCAGCACAATCCAGTAAAATCTCTGTTTAATATTCCCAAAATGGAGCTGAAGGCTTCAATAAAGCAGCTTGAAGCTTGCCAAAAGCTTCACAAATGCTTTCAAAAGCTTAAAAGGATAACTATGAGGTGAGTGCTTTTCACTCACCTCATAGTTCTAGTCGACCTGTGACAATGAGACTGTCACAGGTCGGCTTAGTAGATCAGGAAGTCAGCGAACACATACCGGCGTTCGCTCACTTCTCGATCCTGTCATGGCAGAGCCGTAACAGGGGAGGGACTTGATTCCCCCCTCCCCTGTCCGATCCACCAGCGCTGACTCTTTATAACATTCTCGAGTACATGCAAATTGCCATCATACAAACTGAAGCAGCAGCCTTTGTGAAAGTTAATATTTATCTCATTCTCAAAACTTTTGGCCATAACTGTACATGTGTGCTCCAAGTAAGACCTGAACTGTATGTGACATTAGAACCTGCTGTCCGCTGCACTGAAAGAAAGAGCAAACTGAACCATTTAAGAAGCACTACATACTAATGGCTTAGACACTGTGCAAGCTTTTGTTTAAAACTGGTTAAACAGACACCAGAAAAATTAATCTTTTTACAATAATGTTATATATATTAGGCTTAACATAAAGTAGCATACATTTGAAACTATACCTTGCACATCTCTGCCTCTATCTGCTGGTGAATACTGTTATAACTCTTCTTTACTTGCTGCTTATCTTTGATCATGACTGTAAGGCGGTGGAGCGGCCCTGCATTGAGTTCCTCTGCATGGCTCTTCATAATCTTACTTAGCTGTTCTGTTTGATGAACCATGTGCAGCCAAGACTAATATTAAAAAGCAAATAATCAGTTAGAAGGTGAGCATCAATTTTAAGCAATCTTTTAACAATTGTAGCACTATATGCACCTAACCACAGTCATTTTCATATAAAATACCCAGTACTTAACCATGCAGCCACATGCTTTAGATCCAAGAATAGGAAAGTTTTCCTACAAAAAAAATAAAAAAAACTCATCTTCACACCAATCTCACTGTTCTGCTTAATTCGGCAGAGGCTGCCCTTATGGGGGACAATGGGATATCAGCAAATTCATTACAGGCAAGAAAAATGGGGGCACATAGCAGAACATAATTAAATAAACTTCACATTAATGGTTTACAAATGTTTACTTCACATGCATAAAAAGCTCATTCGTACTTTATAATGAAAACAATAAGTGAAACCATTGGTGCATTTAGGTGTTGTCTTTGGATGACATCCGGCACTTGATACTACACAAAGAGCAGAAAAAAATGCTGCATTCAAAATTCTGGGAATACAAAGCCATCTACAACTCTATGCTGAAACAATAGCTAGGGCTCTGCCTCATGATCCACTAAATTAAACATAAAAGCATGCGTTGCAGTGTGCTGCCAAAAAATGGTGCAGGCACTACATTTTGGCAGCACACCACAACACAAATATTTCAGCAAGTACGCTGGGGTGCTATTCAGAAGGAATGGCACAGCATTGCACTGACCCATTTAAAGTGACAGTAAAGTCTGCGGTTAAATCTTAAAAATGCATTCAAGTACTCTATTAACACAAATGTATCTTATTTGTGTATCACTCAGCTGTAGATCCTCAAATCATCTCTGAATTCATGCTGACACTGTCCTTCCTTCTGGAGGGTGGCTACTTTTGTTCCCCATGTGTGTTGTAAAGTAGCCACTGCTCCAAGCTCGCTCCCATGATGGACTACAATCTCACATTAAGTTTACTAATTTGTAGTGAGATTGTAGTCCATCCCGAGAGTGAGTTTGCAGTGGTGGCTACTTTACAACACACACAGGGACCATGGGGAACAAAAGTAGCCACCCTCCAGAAGGAAGGACAGTGTCAGTACCAATTCACAGATGATTTGAGGATCTACAGCCGAGTGATACACAAATAAGGTAAATTTGTGTTATATAGTTAGGGAACATAAATGCATTTTAAGAATTTAACTCCTAAGTTTAGTGTCACTTTAATGTGCAATACCACGCATTACCACAACAGGATGGTGTGAACATACCCTAAAGTATCAATGAAGAATGTAACCATTGATCAGCACCATGCAAAAACAGAATATTTGGTAAGAAAATAAGCTTTTTACATAAATCTCTCTGCTTGAAAGAAAAACATCTGTTCTACTTTTATAAATAGTGAGGAATAAACAAAATAAACCCTAAGGCTAGGTTTACACCCAAGCATAGGGGTGCACTGCAGTAACCCAAGCGTATTAAAGTGTGATGCATTACGTAGCCATATAATGAATGGGCTAGCAATGCCACTCAACAGCCTAGAACAGACCTGCACCTTTTTAGCAGCACACCACAACACATTAGTACAATTGCTGCATGTTGCGCTGCAGTTCACTTGCATCTGCAAGGTGCAATGGTGGGCTATTCAGAATGAATGGCACCAAATGACACCACTGTAGGTAGCATGCAGTAAAACATGTGTTGAACAAGTTGCAGTATTGAGAGACAGATTTAAGAAGCAACATTGGGATCCAGTAGTGGCAGTCCTGGCCACAGAAGTCGATCAAATGCTCAAATAATACTTCTCTGGAGAAGGCCCTTGGTGCCAATGACTTGGGTTGCAAAGATTCCAGATAGGTATTTTTCACTAACAGTCTGTAATCCATATAAACATGTCAATATCCCTGAAAACTCTATTTAATAAAACCATCTCGGACATTTTAAGAGCCTCTCAGACTTCGCTAAGTCCTGGAAATCTACCAATATACCTATGCAACTAGTCAGAAAAAATTAATATCTGATTATGGTGAATGAGAAGTTAAATAGGATACTACTTGATAAATATCTGGGAACCTTGGATCACATACTTAGGAAACTAATTAACTCTCATGTCACAAAAGGTTATTAATTGGCTTAAAACTTCACTCAAGATGCTACAACCTAAACAGGTGTACTTCATACCATTACCCTTCACCCCTCACCTCTATCCTCCTCTTCTCCCCTTGCCTTCTCTCATTCTGACCTTCAAATGGACAGATTGGATCATAGTTTTGAAGCTATATCTTTTTGTATGTCATTGATCTACAAAACCAGTATGATGCTAAGACACATGAATGAGCTATTTAAAACAACTGCGGTTTAATTAGAAAATGAATAAACATATTGGAAAAGAACAAGTTACAGTGGCAAGCATCCCTGTCTTCATATTTGTGGGACCATCAAATCTATTAAAGCAAGGAAATCCCTTCAGTAGACATTTTTGTTTTACGCAAAACTGTCAACTCACTGCATACAAAGTACGCCTGAAAATGAGAACCAATAAAAAAACGTTAAATCCCTCTGTCCATTATAATATATATATATTTGTGTTTATCTTAAATAAAGAGTATTACCTTAGACACACTGCTAATGTAGTCAAGCTGTGGAGCACTCTCCTTATCAACCTGGTTACAGAGGTTCTGCAGTGTTGATGCATAGTCCTTGTCACTCTTTATTCTTAAGGCCATGAACTTCTTCACAGTTTCCAGGAGTCGCAGTTCCCAGTCTTGCAACTTCAGCAAAGCATCATATGAAAATGTAAGATCCTTTCCAAACCCCATCTTCACCAAGGCACTTAAGAGGTCTGGTGCTGACAGAGAATCTGCTCTTGGTCAGCGCATACCCATACGCCTGAAAGAATAAAAGGCGAGAACTAAACTCAAAAGCAGAACACCATATATTTTAGAAAATATTTTTGCCTGTATCATTTGTGTACATTTCCAAGAAAGATATACATCACATTCTTATCATATATGGTAAAAAAAATAAACCAAGTCCAACTGCTTTCTGCCTGTTATACGTTGAATGTCATTGTGAAATGGGTATCGTTTAAGATTAGCTGTACTATTTATATACATTTCTCAACACAGAAAGAGGAACATCATACTCAAAGATTTCATAAACCATTGCACAGTAATAGCAAATATAAGTTGAGTGGATACAAAAATACACAACATTAAAAAGGAGAACTATGAGGTGAGTGCTTTTCGCTCACCTCATAGTTCTAGCTGACCTGTGACAATGAGACTGTCACAGGTCGGCTCAGTAGATCGGGAGGTGAGCGAACATATACCGGCGTTCGATCACCTCTCGAACCCGTCACGGCTCTCTGCCGTGACAGGGGAGGGGCTGGATTCCCCCCTCCCCACTTCAATCCGCCAGCGCTGACTGAGGGAACGGACGGGGGAGGGGCGGGTACAGCTGGCTCTGCCTCTAGATAGGCAGAGCCAGCTGTCACTCACGCAGCTGGGCGGATCTCGACATCGATGTCGGGATCCGCTCCGGCTGCGGCATCTCAGTATACTGAGCTTAGGGTAACGGGAGGACGCTAGTTTGTGTCCTCCCGTTACCCTGAGAACTATGGGGAAAAGCCCTGACCCCATAGTTCTCTTTTAAGGAGGAGAGAATAGTCTTTCAGGGTGCTGAAAGGCTCATTCAGTAACAAATCAAGCAGAGGGTGATGAGGAGAAGACTTGGAAAGAAGGCCTTAAGAAAACAGGACAATGGACTAATCTGGTAATGGCAACAGGCTGAACCTCCAGCTTTAGGCCAGGCTCAAAGCTTGGCGGTTTCAGTTTTTTTGCGCAATTTTAGTCTGCGTGTTTTTGCATTTAAAAACGTGCATTTCTACCTGCATAGAGATATCTACTGGGACCAAAACAGCACAGTATCCACCTGAAAAGAGTTGCGGCATCTTTTTGCGGGACAGGCGTTTTCCTACGGGCGACTCAATGCTAAGTGTGACCGGTCACCATTGACTTGCATGGAAATGTGTGCTTTGCGCATTTTCGCACGATTTAGATCCGCAGGTAAAAACTTTGGATGTGAACCAGGCCTCAGGATAGGCCTACTGCATTAGAGAGAAAACAGTCTCTCTCAGCTTAGGTGCAATTACTTCAGACCGCAATCCCTCAGGGGAGATCTCTTCAATCAAACACAGAATACACTCATGATTCAGAGAGGGGGAGCAGCATTAGACTGACAAGGGGGAGACAATACAGGAAGCAGGTCAGATTTAGACAAAGGTGCAGTAGCACGCGTGCGGCCTTTATGTTTAGGGTCAGTAACCAGCTGGGAAATATGTGACTTGAAGCCATACATGACTGAGGAAAAAAACCCTACAGAAAGGAAAGAGGACTCTAATGAAGGTACTATCAAACACAAAGGGTAAACGGCACTCACAGCAACAGTGGTCCCCACTATAAAGATATGCATTGCCTGCAGAACAGAACCAGTTAGGAAACTGGAATTACCTGCGGCTGCAGCACCTTTGTGCTTTCCCCATGTGTCAGAGAGGTCGCCTCCGCAATAGGAGCAGGCAACATACAGGTTCATGGAAAGAGAAAAGTAACTCACAGAACCTAGGCAGCTGGATAGCCAGTTGGTGGAGTAAGCCGAAGGTGACCCAATGGCACTGCAGGCAGGAAGCAGAAATGGACCGAAGATCTGTGTTCCATATGACTCTGCAGCAGGAATACCAGCAGAGAGATGTTCCTTAATGCT